TATATATATATATATATATATATATATATATATATATATATATATATATATATATATATATATATATATATATATATATATATATATATATATATATATATATATATATATAAATATAATATATATATATATATATATATATATATATATATATATATATATATATATATATATATATATATATATATATATATATATATATATATATATATATATATATATATATATATATATATATATATACCCTATATATATATATATATATATATATATATATATATATATATATATATATATATATATATATATATATTATATATACCCTATATATATATATATATATATATATATATATATATATATATATATATATATATATATATATATATATATATATATATATATATATATATATATATATATATATATATATATATATATATATATATATATGTATATATATATATATATATATATATATATATATATATGTATATATATATATATATATATATATTATATATACCCTATATATATATATATATATATATATATATATATATATATATATATATATATATATATATTATATATACCCTATATATATATATATATATATATATATATATATATATATATATATATACCCTATATATACCTATATATATATATATATATATATATATATATATATATATATATATATATATATATATCTTATGGCTGCACCCAGAAAAGGAGTTTTATATTTGAACTTTGGCTAATCACAAGGGAAGCAACTGATGAATGCTTATCTAAATATGATACTAAATAACTAGATACAACAACAAGCCATCTGTAAAACAATGACACAGATGGAAAAACAATAAACACGAAAGAAATGACAGAGGATCAAAGCAGAACAGTATGTGGCAGGAGGTGGATGCTGCACCTTCAATACGCCAGAAGTAAAAAGTAACACAGGCGCAGAACTTTACCCCTGTGGCGTATCAGCAGACCAGAATGGGTTTACGTGGTTAAAAGATGAAATTAACATACCAAACTAGTGTTTGTTGCCCTTTACTATCCTGAAGACAAATATGAAAGAGGATTCAGATTTGCTGACACACCAAAATTGCAATAATTTTTGTTTTAGTTTACCTAAAACCTTCTTTGACCATATTTGTTTAAACACAAGCAGACTTTAAACAATTATGATAAACTTTTACTTTACTATCTCAAGTTAGGATAACTGTCACAAAAATCACTATAATATTGAGTTAAGTATGGTTAGGTTAGCTTAGTTCAGTAAAGAAACGAGTTAAGCATTGAAAATATTAACTTTTTTAGATTTTTTTTTCTTTCAGGGTTTTGTGTCTGTTTTTCGGTATGATGTAAAAGTAAGAATTTTCACAATTGCTTATGACATGCTTGCTACCGGTTGGTCCTTCTCTTAAAACTTTTACAACAAGATACTAATAAAAATAGATGAGTGGGGTAGCCACAATCCTGTCTTGGTGACTGATTTTCTCCTAAAAATATCGATTATTACCATATACGAAGCTCTAACCAATTCGTTATAAGCCAGACATTCTAAACACTTCATTATCATTAATCCAATTCTCAGCACGTAGCCGCACTTATTAAATCGGAATGCTAAAAACAATCACATCTTTGAACTTTTCAAACTCGATAACTTCAGCAAGGACTCTTGAATGTGCTGATATGAACCTATAAAGTTGAATCAACTACACTGTGCTATTTTCATCACCATAAAGAGATTCTCACTACTTCACTATCTAAGAGTAACGTCAGTTACCTTTACAGATATCTAGATAATACTAGCTTCTTCTACCGCTCACAAAAACACTCAACATCCAACTAACGTAACAAAAAGCACGCGGCGTCGTCGACGTCGATTCACTTCACCCCATCACTCTTCCCCCGCCCAAGCAGACGAGGACCCAAGCGAATGGTGGGATCCTTCCCTCCATCCTCTATGGAAGGGGAGGAGCGCGAGAAAGAAGTAATATTGATGCCAGGTATCGCCACAATATACTGGCCAACAGCAAGTATAATTAAACGCTTTCAGGAAAACAATACCTATATGTTATATATATATTTTTTTTATTTTCATTCATTGTAATAAACACAGTACTTTTATTTTCTAATTATTCCTGTATGTTTATTCCATAGTATTTCATAGACATCATAATTTCTTCTTCTTTTCTAACATGTTACTCGATCTATTGTTCAGTATTATTGACTGGGAGATCCTCTGAGTAATTGAATTGATTTCTCCATTCATATTACTTCCATGGTTTTAAGAATCGTTAACTATTCTAATTCCTCAAACAATGGTATCATTTACTTATAGTAACTGAAAAAAATATTGATTAGTAAGAATATGGATTTTTTTTATTCTGAGCAGCGTTTCTTATAAGTAATAAGAAAAAGTAAAAATGGACGAGTTTCCAATATAAAAGTTTAGTTATCATCATCTTTCATGAAATGTTATATTCGAAACATAAATATCTGGATACATGAATACACATAATTTCTGTTTGTAATTAGGTAAAATATAATCATATATATATTGCAAACATAAAGCCACATATGCAAGAGAGAGCATCGAGCGCAGAGCGTCGCTTTCGGATTCAAGGGGGAGAACCAGGAGTAGACTAATAAGAAATTATTGATTGAATTTACACACGCTAAAATGCCAATTGAGATAATTCACGAGCCGTACGTTGATTCATTTTGATGAATGGAGATGAGTGGGTTGCGTTGGCTCATATAAAAAACGGTAAAATTTAATAAGTAATTAATATTGAAAGTAATTCATAATGGTACATTGTACATTTCTTTAAGTGTGACACCAGGGTGGGCGAAAAAAATTTTCCTCATCGGGCCAGGGCAGTAAGAAGCATAAAGCATAAAGAGAAACGGAGTTAGGGAGTATTGTTACTTGTCAGATGTGAAGGGATAATGAAATGTGTAACGAATATGCAAATATTCTGTGTAGATGTAGGCATAGAAAAGGATCAGTAACTGAAGGAAGTATTCGACATCGAGCTGTCCAAGAAAGTCGTACTTACAGGATAAACTGGAGAAGACTGCCCTCAGTGTTGCCAACTCGAGAGGACACGCCTCATTGATTGGCCAACTGAGGATAACATAACCTAATCTAACTTAGGTGCTCTATCTCCAGTTGCTTAATTATGAGATGCTTTATCTCCAGTTGGCCAATTGTGAGGAGGGTTTTCTCCGGTTGACGGTGCAGAGACGCTTCTTCTCCAGTTTATCTTACTTAAGTTTAAAAAAGACCTTCAACTGTAGTATCGCAACGAATGGCTAGGTCATGGGCCAACCTTCTCCAATTTGCATCTCAGGAAGCAACAAAAACTAATATTCTAAAAGAAAGAGAATCTAAGTTTTGCATGACTTACATTTTGGAGATTACTGTTATGTTGAAAATATTTCTACAAATTCAGTCAGATGAACTAAATTACTCAGAAATTTATAGTTTACCAGCTGCATTTTATTAGTAAATACTGGATGAGTCTTGCATTTTAGGAACATTAGCAACTATATATCTTACAAAAGTTATTATATGAACATTCTATAACAAAGGGGCCAAAACTTTCGTATATAAATAACCATGAAAAATTGGTCATATAAGTACTGTAACCTCTAAAAAAATGAAATATTTAAAAAACTCCGTCATTGCATCCACTAACAAAACATTATGAAACATCAGTATTCTTCCTTTAGGGTTACCATTTATAATTAAGAAGTGAAGCGGTCGCTATGATCAAACACCAGGGATTCAAAGGTCAGCCTCTAGCCTTAATTAATACGATTGGCCTTGACCTTTCATCATCAAAGGTAGAAATAGCCTAGTCAAAAGCAATTCAATGTAAGAAGCGTGTGCATCAGAGTCGAGTGGATCAGCTAATTATGTGCAAAATGATATTATTTTTGTCTTGAATTTAATTTTTACAATAGATCAATTATCAACAATACAGATTTGAATAAAAGTTTACCTAATTTCATGTTGCAAAATAAAGAAAAAAAAACAGAATTATATATTAAAAAATATCACGTTTTTTGGAACATTCCTGAACTTAGCAATTGCTCTCTCTTATTTCCTTTTCAGGATCACTTACTTGTTACATATGACCATATTACCCAGGTGGGAGACAAACATCATTGGTACCGAATCACGATGACATTTCTTTACTGATTTCAAATGTCAGGTAAACACTCTTGGAGGATCAATAAGAGATGCTTTGTCTCTTAAGCCTACGTTGTAGTATGTTTAAGTCGTGGAAAAGTGATTTTTTAAAATATATTTTGGGTTTTCAGTGATAGTCTATACGGGGAACTGTCAGTCTAATGTGAAATGACAGTATTCTTTTCCACTGTGTACGCATTGTGCATACTTCATATAAATGTTAAATGCCCTTTGAAGATGATCTACAATTGTTATTAGTGTGGCAACGTATACTGATAAACTGCAAAGGATAATAATATCAGAAAATAATAATAGGAGAGAATTTTCCACTTAGTTTATCTTTTCCTTTCTCAGATAAAAAAAAAAATGTAACTAAGAAACCAGAAGATTTGCGGTCGAGGAAGTTTGTTGAACAACAGTGACATCACTGGAACTGAGTAAGAGATTTCCACTAGGCCGATAAGCCCTCGGTGATCCAAATTCTTCCATTTCAACTGGAAGTGGACACACACTTGGCCTTCCAAGGTTTGTTCGAAGATCTTGTGTGTCTGCATCCTGGAGACTCTTGTCTAGTCTTTGCTGTCGCACCATAATGAGATGTATGACTGAAAAAAAATATTTACTTATAAATTAATATGGCAATGAGATATGTACATACAATAATAATAATAATAATAATAATAATAATAATAATAATAATAATAATAATAATAATAATAATAATAATAATAATAATAATAATAATAATAATAATAATAATAATAAAATAATAATAATAATAACCTTCTACTGTCAGGGTTCGAACCTGGACCCTATAGTACAGGAGTCTACAGCTTAGTGCTCTGAGCCACAGGGATCATAATAGAGAGATAACTGGAACTTCTACTGAAATCTCAAATTGACATAGAGTGCCGTGCGCCTTTCTACTCTGATCATTTACCTCTCTCCCAACACGCAAGTAACAGCACTCACATTTAAGTCTCTTCCTCAGTATGGACTGAAGTTAACGGATAGGACATTACAATGAATCACATATTTTAAAAAGTTCAAATATTTTTCCTTTTACTGTCGGGACTGGAACCTGGGAATTGTGGAACAGTAGTCAGCAGTTCAGTGCGCTGTGCCACAGAGGTCATAAAAGAGAGAGAACTGAGACTCCTAGTGAAATTTCAGGTTTACGAAGGGTGCCACTACATATTCCTAATCTAATAATTCACCCCTCTCCCATCCTGCCAGTGACCAGCATACACAATTAATTCTCTTCCTCAATAATGGACCAAGATTGTTTGATAACACATTATAATGTATGTGCCTTGAACACATTTCAAGACAGCTTACATAAGAATTTATTGTGTGACAATTTATTTCTTTATTATAGCTTAAGTGCATGTCCGATATACATATATGAATATTCATATGCATAGCATATAGTATATGTATGGGTCATTACAGATTAAAAATAGAAAACCGACACTGAGATCGTCTTTGCTATGCTTATGCTGATAAATATATCACTGTTTCATGATAACATTAACTATTATGTGCAAACAAAGTTCGTTGCAGCTGCAGTCTCAACACATGATAGTTACACGAATATCTACTTGTCGATAGAACGATATATTTAGTGTCATTTCGAAAGTTCATACCAATAATAATGAAAAATATGAACAATAGAGGTTTGTAAGATGCTTCATTACGAATTTATGCTCAGTTACTACTCTGGCTCTGGACAGTGCATTCATGTTAATCACATGCGTTTGTCTTGTGAGGGCGATTGCCATTGAGGTCTCAGAAGGGGTATCTCGTGTTTATTTATTATTCCTGTTAAGACAGTTGTGGTTAAGGTTCCTGACAGGACACTCATATTCAGTCACGAATCCTTGTGAAGTTAATCACTTCATTACTGATGTCTAGACGCTAAAGATAGTCGAGTATAAAATTAATTAATACTTCAAACAATAATAATTCTAAATGAAATATAGAATGAGCTCATTTAGTAGAACATTTGTAGACAAAATATATGTTGAAAGAGTTGTAGTATTCTGTATGTGAGATTTATAGTCCAAGGTGAGGAGAATTTTATTTCTTAATTTTCATCTAAATAAACCTCATTTTAAAAATATAAATGTATACATATACATGTGATATTGTTTTATTTGCTGGATATAATTTAAGAGATGGTTTGTGTGCCTATACTGAAGTTGTGTTTGGATTACCAGGTTTAAGGAGGATCTGCAGTCGCATGTAATGATACCCAGGAAATCCTCCAGAAGTAGACTGTATTATAATGTTCTGCCAATTGATCTTGGTCAATTTATAAGGAGAATTAGTTGTTTCCGTCTTAAGAAGAAAAGTTGATTACCTTAACTCCTCTCCCACTGATAAATGTTTCTGGTCCTTAGCCAAAATCCTCTCCAAAAAACTTCTGTAACTCAAGCTTTCTCCCTCTCATTCGTTCTGATGGTTCTATAGCTTGATCTTCCACTGACTAAGTCACTCTCTTTGGCTCTCATTTTTGCCAACTCTTTTGTAAGCGATCCCAGTGCACCTGTCCTTCATTCTCTACCCCTCTTAAACCCTATGACTTAACTTATCCTTTCTTCACGCAAAGTTCATAGGGTTCCTCGCTCTCTAATGACGAATAAGGCATCAGGACCCGATGGTATCCCTGCAAGGTTCCTTAACGAGTTTGCAGATGAACTGGCTACCGTGCTTTGCCATCTTTTTCGCCTCATTCTCTCACCCTGTATCTATCCTTCATCTTGGAAGCAAGCTCTAGTTCAGCCTGTTCCTAAGAAGGGTGACCACTATATTCCTTCAAACTACCAACCTATTGCCCTAACATCTTCTATCGATAAAGTAGTCGAAACTTTGCTCAATTCTCACTTCTTGAAACGTCTTGAAGCTAATTAGCTTATCTCCAATCACCAATACGGTTTCTGAAAGGCAAGCTCCACTCGTGACTTACTGTCCTATCTTACCCATGCATGGTCATCTCTGAGGATCAATGGGGACTCCTATATCGTTGCTCTTGATATTTCTAATTTTTGACAGAGTCTGATACAAGGCTCTGTTCGCCAAGCTCTCTGCTTATGGCTCTAACCCTTCTCTCTATTCTTTGATTTCCAATTTTTTTAATGACTGTTTTATATCTGCAATTGTTAACAGTGCAACATCTTCTCTCATTCCTGTTACCAGTGGAGTTCCACAAGACCCTTTTCTTTCCCTAATCTGTTCCCTCTCTTCATCAACGATCTTCTTCAGTCCTCATCCTCCTCTCTTCTTCAAACCTTTGCCGAGGATTCAACCCTTCATTTTTCCTATGCCTTTTCTTCACAACTTTTTTTTTATGAGTGTGACACCGGGATAGGCAAAAACTGCCCTCATCAATAAAGGCCCTGGCACGAGAAAACACCAAGACGAAGGAAAAGAAAAAGGTTAAGGGTAAGGTAGATATGAGGTAATGATACACAAAGGGAAATGACAGACATAAAAAAGTAGTCAAAGTACTGAGGACCTAGAGATATGGAGGATTAGGCCCTGAGATGACGATAGATCCGCTTTTTGAAGGAAGATAGGTCATAGGAATTTGGAAAGACAAAAGGAGGAAGAGAGTTCCAGAGTCTGGATGTAGATGGAAAGATACAGTTGCTGCACCAACCAATCCGCGAGCTACATATCTCCACACAGTACCTGTGTCATTATTTCTTCTGCCCTCAACTCCAAATTGCAGAGGGTATTTGATTGGGGCACCCAAAATTTAGTTAAAGTAATGTCTCCAAGACACTGTCTCTGGCTATCTCTTTATCTTCTTCTCCCCTTGATAGCTCTACTGTCTTCGAAACTAAAGAAATTTCCCCTCTTAATTCTATAAACATATTAGGAATCCATATAACCTCTAACTTGTGTTGGAGGAATCACATAATCCAAATCTTTATATCTGCATCCAAAAAATTGGAGGTTTTGTCTTTTTCGTCATTACTTTTCCTCTTTATAGTTCCTTTAAATCTATAAAGATATCATCCGTCCCTGCTTAGAATGCTGCTCACACATTTGGGGTGCATCTTCTTATACTTATCTCCTTGATAAGGTTGAATCTAATGCAGCCAGACTCATCAATTACCCTTTTCTTACTTCTAATCTGGATTCCCTTTCCCTTCACCTTAAGGTATCATCCCTTTCTCTTTTCTATCGCTACTACTTCCATCGCTGCTCTGATGAGCTGGTGAATTGCCTCCCTATCCCACTGCCGAGGCCAAGTAACACTCGCCAAGCAGCCTCGTCTCACAAGAACTTTGTGTAGAGATTTGTACCTCACGGATTGGTTGGTGCAGTGACTGCTTCTTCCCATCCATCTCCAGACTCTGGAATTCTCTTCCTCCCTCTGTCTTTCCTTCCTAATTCTTATAACCTATCATCCTTCAAAAAGCGGATCTATCATCATCTCAGAGTCTAATCCTGTCATATCTCTAGGTCGTCAGTACTTTGAATACTCTTTCAGCTTGTCTTTTTCCTATTGTGTATCACTACCCTAACTCTGACTTGTTCTTAACCTTCTACTTTTTCTTCGTCGAAATGTTTTCTTCGTGTCCGGGCTTGATGAGGTTAATTTTCTTGAATGTCCCAGTGTCACTCATAAATTAAAATAAAATGCTCTCTCTGGTCACTGGCGGGTTGGGACAAATGTAATAATGCATTCTAAGAAGTCCCAATACTTCCCTCTGTATATCTGTGACCTGTTCTCTCTCTTTTATGACCTCTGAGCTAACAACACAAAGTTCTGGTATTTTGTCTAACAAGTCTCAAGTTCGAATTCTGACAGTTTGAGGTAAACACTTTGGAAGCAGTAAATGCATCATTGCATTAAAACATTTTGTCAATTAGCTTCGTTTCATACTAAGCAGTTAATTTAAATGTGTATGCTGGTCACTGACAGATCAGGAGAAAGGTAAAACTTCAGAGCAAAAAAGCGCATTGGTACTTTCTGTAAATCTGAGACTTCAGTAGAAGTTCAATTTCTCTCTGTATAACCTCTGTGGTTCAGTGCATTAATCTATGGAATTCTGTTAGGATGTAATATATAAAGAAAATTATGTTAATACATGATTGCATTATCATCTTTTGATAATAATTATAATAATTTTACAGTCCCCTAATATACGAAGGCCTCTTCCTTGCATTGAGGAATTGCATAGAATAGCAATTGGCACGCTATATAAATACCATCTTATTGTCCAAAGTAGGCAAGAAAAGAGTGTGGCTTCTACGCATGTGGGGCTTGATTTATCACTTGCTGAATAGATGCTAAAAAATTTAATACTTACCAAGCGCAGTTATAGCAGTTATCAGCATTATGACAATAATCATCCAAAGATAGGTCAAGGCATCCCATGCAGAAGGTCGGTGAAGTGGGGCACGAACAGCCTATGAACACAGAGAATTTCGATGGTTAAAACTATATAATTTTGAAAATTGAATTCGTGAGTTTTCAACCTAGTGATTCATAATAGTATACAAATGTTAGGCCGCTTTCACACCAAAGTGGCACGTTGCATGCCACATGGCACGTCAGATGAAAACAAACATCCGGAAATATATGAAACTTTTCACACAGAAGTGGTGTGACACATCCCATGTGCCACGCCACTTCTCTGAGAAAGGTTTCGTATATTTCCTGATGTATGTTTTCAACTGGCATGCCACGTGGCATGAGACGTGCCACTTTGGTGTGAAAGCGGCCTCAGGGTACAGCCACACCAGATGCGATGAGCAGGGAGGCTTGAGCGGGGAGGGATAACGCAACATGATGAAACTCTTTAAATTATATGTGGGTGGCTACACTGGATGAGCAGGGAGGTTTGTTGCT